TGAGTAAAAATATATACTTAGAGGGGCGCCTGGGTGGCTCAGTCAGTTAAGCGTCATCTGCCTTCGGCTCAGGTCATGATCCCAGAGTCCTGGGATCAGGTCCTGCACTGGGCTCTCTGCTCATTGGGGAGATTGTTTCTCCCTCTCCGTCTGCCTGCAACTCTGCCTACTTGTGCCCTCCCTCTCTCTTTCTCTCTCTCTGTCAAATAAATAAATAAATAAATAAATAAATAAATAAATAAATCTTTAATATATATTATATATACACACACACACACACACTTAGAAAGTCCTCAAGTGAAATAATTCTTTTCACCCTACTAATATTAGACAAGAAATCAGTATTTATCCTTGGGGGAAAAAATTCTTGCCTTAATAAAATGAACTTGAATTCTGACTATATTTTGTGTAAGAAGGATATTAGGTGATTTGATATCTGTGATCTTTTTTATACTCAACAAATCTGTTTTACTAGTGGTAAATTTAGGTCTACAAAGTCTTTAAACAACAAGCCCAGGGCCATGCGATGAGTTAACGGCTGATGTGGGACAAATATTGAAGGTTGGTCATTCTTAATTCCACCTTATGATTCTAAATCTTAAACTTATGATGGCCTCATGATATTTTAAACCATCCATGGTCTGAGTCCTAGATCTAAGTATCAAATACATAACTATCACATGGAGCACCATGCTTAAAAAGGCAACAAATAATATGTAAGACACATTTATGAAAAAGGGCAGAGGAGACTACCCTCAAAAAATATATTCATGGACTATTTGATAACATCAGGCTAGAAGAGCAAAGGGTGGTAGTAAATAAACGTCATGCTCTAAAACTGAATTTTGCAGATAGTTTTCAGCATGATTTTTCTATGTTTCACTTTTCACTGTCAGCTGTGAGCTGTTTCCAAGTGTGAAATCGCCCAAGAGAGGAAGCAAAGCTGTCATCTGACATCCAGAAGCGTGGAGATTGGGCTGCAGTAAAAAGCAGTTTGGACTTCTTCAATTTACACACATATTCACCTATAAATTCTCAAGTCTGAAAAGTATTCAACAAGAAATATCAATGTAAATTTCAAGCATTTATAAAGGCTCATAATGGAGTGGAAAATAAAGGTGAAGGACACACAGTGATAGGATACTGTATCAACTTGTGAAGACCAGAACAAGAAACTGAAGTGATTATATTAGCATAATAACGAACATATAAACAATTTTACTCACTTGCCTTAGATTGCATATTAAACTTTCAAATATAGTCTTCTGTATTTTATATGCTTACTATTATAGGTTCTGTTCTCTAGCTGCTTTTTTTATGATGAAGACTTAAAAAAATACTGATAAAAAAATACTTTGACACTTTATTCTTTCTTTATACTTAAAATGTTATAACAAATTTATTCTATGTTATGACAGATTAACAGTTATGATGATATAGCACATAAAATCCTCTATGTGTGTGTATGTGTACACAAATATAGAAATAAAATCAGAGTAACTACAAGGAAGTCCTCTAGAGAAGAATAATCAATTTACTCCAGTTTTTATTCTATAACCTCTCACAACAAAAAATTGGATGACCCGTCTGAAAGTCTCTTAATAGAAAGTATCTAAAAGTTTCCTAATATGGAAACTAGACAGTGTTATGTTTATATTGTCACTTGCTATACAATCTATTCCCACTTTGGGATCTATTTCTTTGCTCTTTCTCTTCCTGAACTCTGTCCTGTGTTTCTCTGGTATGAAAGGAGCCCATTTACCATGAATGATGTTTATTTAAAATAAAACCTTTCTAGAGAATCATCCTAGATAATCTAAGGATACAAAGTGAACCTAAAAGGAATGGCTTCTACTTTGAAAACAGGGCTGGGTTTGATCAGTGAATTCGTATTCTCAAGACCCTCTTGATCGGCCTGCAGCTGCAGCCATTTATTTGCTGGCTTTTTCACAGATGTAGACAGAGAAAGCTCCATGGGTTTTGTCTTTTTGTTATTGGACTTGTTTTCTTTAATATAAAAAAGTGGCAACTTTTTAAGAAAGTTCTTCGCGTTGTTGTAGAAACTTGTGAACATCAGATACCCTTGGTAGTATACATTGTTGAAATGACTCTGACTTTTTAAAATCTGAGATCTCAAAGTTGGCAGAAACTATACTTCAATAACAGAAGGTGATCATTTGCATTTCAAAATTTATCTATCTTGCTTTTCCCCTCAATTAGACCAAAACATGTTGATTCACAGGTTTCTGTGTGTGTGTTGTTTCTTTTTTAAACTTATTTATAGAGCAGAATAATGGCCCCCCTGCTAGTTTGGCATGTGCTCAAGTTTCTGTCCATGTAAATCGAATCTGTTACTGGAAATTTTTCTCAAAATATAAAGGCACATCACCCACAAGATGAAAAGATACACTGCTGATATTACAAAGTACAGGGCAGGTGGATTATGTTTTTAGGACAAATATGTGATAAGGATTCCCAGGAGGGAGGAGGGGTCGGGGTAGAGGTTGCATGCTGTTTAAACAGAAGTGGATCGTTCTCATCATAATCTTATGACAACTTTACTTTCTAACCAAACATCAGCTGCTTAACATGCTTTAGAGCTACTTGGACAATAATACTAAGGTTAGAGTTGGAAAACGGAAAGGCAGAGGGGATGTGGGAGAGAATGACTGCAACCCTGTAGTGTTTCTAAGGGCAGACCAAAAGAGAGTAAGTACTCTCTGTCCCCATGTGTGACTTTTAAGCATTGAAATATTAGCATATTAGCACTGCTCCCACCATTTGAGAAGAGGAGGAAAGCCTACTTACAGTTTTTATCAGTAGCACTGCTGTTCACTTTTGAAACAAACACTAATTTACAATTTTTTGTCCCAATTCCCCTTGCATTATAAGCAAGGGGCAGGAGAACATGGACTTAACTGAGTTCTGTAACTCTCTGGGTTTATGATCATCTACATTACACCACTAGCTTTACTTTTCGGTGAAGGCCATTCCTGGTTTTGTTTTTCCCCCATTGATAAAACATATTAATAGGCCCAAAGAATAGAAGAGACTTCCCACACTGTTCACTGCATGCCATAATGCTAGAACACTTGCAACACACAAAGTTTGAAAATACAATTCTGTCATGCAAATAATTAAAACAAAGCCCTTCTTCAGATGACAGCTTTTTTCAAATGTTAGCGAAGGGCAACCTGGAAGATGACAGCAAAAATCCATTAATGGTAGACTGCCACCTGCTGGTAAACTATGAGAACTGTGATTTCCGGGGAAAGGCTTAAAAAGGAAAATGTGGAAACTGATCTGGATTAAACTCAGTATTTCAGTACACAAAATTAAAAGTATATATTTGTTGATGAATGTAGTATAGCTTTGTTCCACATATATTAAAATTCTCAGGATGTCAATCTGCTAGACTGCCAAAGGATGACACTATAGTTTTCGGTAAGAGAATGAAAATAAAAATAGGAAATAAGGAGTCAGTTACAAACATTAAACAATGTCTCATAAACATTTGGTTTTGATGTGAGGTTTATACTGCACTTCACTTCTGGATTTAAGAGGTTTCATTTCAAAGAACTCCCAGATTTAATTTTGATTCTAAAACCTCCAAATTCATTACAATTAATATGTTCTTATGTACATTGGTACCTAAAATGTTATTTATAAAATTAGAAAAGGGGTGAGTATTAAAAAAAAAGAACCAGATAACCATAATAAAGTGATTGTATTGTTAAATTATTTTTGCTATCCCATTAACTAAATCATACTAATAAGGCTTCAAAAAACAGCATAATATTATCTACTTGAGAGAAACAAAAGATGTAGGCATGCTCAATATATTGCCCCTAGGAAGAAACAAAATCAAACACCCCTAATTTGAGGGAAGGAAGTGGAAAGGAAAAGATACAACAGTAAGAAAAAAAAAAATCCAAATCATTGTTTTCAGGAAATAGTTTTAGGATATTTGCTTTGCAGGTTGAAAAACTTCGCTATTCCCCAATACAGAAATAATTCTTAACAATGAAGGTTTAACTAAAAGCAGTATAGCTCTTTCAATCTTAATTATAATCATTTCCCATCATGCAGGGAAGCAATGTTAGTATCAATAATACACTGGTTAGCTAGGAGCATTAAATACTGTTTTAATCAACAACTAAGCAGATCATGTCAACATAATCAACTTGAACCTCCTTTGAAAGCCAGTGGGGTGACAAGTGAAGCAACTTTGACCATCCAAAGAGGCTGAAAGCTAGGCAAAAGGTGAACGAACTTTGGATTCAAATATAGCCCCATCTGCACTGACAGAGACACTAACTCAAACCCAATTCAGATGCTTAAATGACCTGTAATTATCAGCAAAGGATCTAACACACCCCAGAAATAAATCTCTAATTCTTAAAAAACAAAGACAATACAGTAAGAGCAAGAGAAACCTGTTGTGTCAAATATTTGGCTAAACTGGCTAATTTAAGCCAAGAAGAACATGCTTCCTAAAATGTCTCAGATATAGAAAGAACTCTGAAATCTGCTCTCCAATAGCCAGCTTGGCTTATCAATGAAGTCACAATACTGCATTTTTTTTTAATTCCTCATTTTATCCATTTTTATCCTTAGGAATTTTACCTCTTTTGTCAGCTCCCTCTCCTATCTTAATAAAACCATCCATTTAAAGAGGTTCGGGGTATTTAAAGGTCCTTCTAAACACTAAGAAGTTATGACATTTCTAAGACAGAATTCACTGTCAGTTCTAAAAGAAGTCCAAACCTGTTTAACCACACATACACACACACACACACACACACACACACACAAACCTCTATTGGGTAGATAAACCAATATACATTGATTTAATCCCCAAATTTTCTTTTTTGAAGGATTAAAGAGATACTCAAAGCCAACATATATGTGAACTGTGAGTGAAAACCACAACTTCTGTAAAGAAAAGAGAGCTGCTGAACTAGTTTTTCAAGTGAACCATTTTAGGAGATTGCTCTAACCTGGGGCACAGTACATTCTCTCTATGGCATCGCTGTCACAGGAATCTTCAACCTCACTCCACCTGCTAAAATACGTTAGCTGAATGTGTCCTAAAAACAAAACGACAGGAGAAATCAAAACATTTTTCTCTTCCATTTTCTGCAGAAGTGAACTGTAATTACTCCTTTTGTAGCTAAAAACAGTATCATTAAGAATAATGGCATCATTAAGTACTAGAAGCTATTACTGGGGGTGAATTTGCCGCACTGATAATGAAGCTCTAGACAGGAAATGAAGATACTAATTACAAGATAAAACGCCTACTCAGTTAATTGGAAGCAACAGCGAATAAAAAGAAATGCATTTGCAAAAGTTCCTGACCTCTATCATTCAATAAGATGTTGTTTGGGTTCAAATCGCGGCACACAATTCCCTCTCTATGTAAAGCATCAAGGGCTACCACCATTTCAGCTGCCCATCTTTGAATGCAGCCCTCGGGGATATAAAACCTGGAGTTTAGTGCTAATTTTTTATCAAGGTCCTCAAAAATCTGATGTATTTCCTTGTCTCCTTCTAGTGCTAATCCACTCTCTCCCTTAGTCTCTGGGTGTCTCTGAAATAAAGTCAGTTCCTCTTTAGGCAAATCCTCAGTTTGATCTGTAAACAGCAATACTTCTTCAGTTTTTAAAGTGTCTGTGTTTACACTATATTCATTAGCACCTGAGAGTGGGTTAGAAATATGGAATAAGCTTTCTTCTGTGTTGTTTGCAGTTACTGCCGACTCCCCCACTCCAAGTACTTGGAACTTCGAATCAGAGCTGTGTAACAAAGACGCGTCTCCTGAACTACTATGATGAGCAGCTGCTACAAATAACAGCCCAAGATCCCCCCGTGTGCTGTGTTTCTCTGCTATACTCTGGGATCTAGGTCTAGAGGGATCACTCAATTCCTCTGTGCCTTGTTCTTCACTTGATTGGCATTGTTCAGTACTAAGCCGAAGGCATAAAACATCGGGGGCTTCCAACAGTTTACTTTCAATTATGCCTATATTAGTCTGTGTAAACTTAGTAGGTCCCACTGCAGCACCATCTTTGGTTGGCTCCAGTTCACCCGGTAGATTTACAAGAAGATCAGGCCTTCCTTCATCAGTGCCAATGACATCATCGAAAGCAGCATCTTTAAAAGAAATGACTGGGACAGAGTCATCTGAGCCCCTGCTAATGGTGTCCTGAGCTATAAACTCTACCTTGCTTTCACTACCATTGAAACTCCTGGAAGTGCCGTCTCCATCTGGAAGAGTGAAAAATGGTTTCAAAGGCTCTGACTTTAGACTATACAATTTTTCTCCAAAATCAAGGCCTAGCAGTTCACTAGTGCTATCCTTACTATCTATCCTAAAGAATTCCATGGGGCTGTTTTTCGATCTACTAAGGGAATCTGACGTTCTTGGCGAACTAACTGCTTCTACATCATCATCTCCAGCGAAGAACTGCAGCTCCTGAGCTATGTGCTGGGTGCTGGGGCTGTCACGGTCAGCAGCAAGGTGTGCTGGGAAGCTTCCAATGACTCTGGTATCAACACCACTCCCTCCAATCTTCAGGAAAGGCTCCTCATTCAATGACCCTGGTTCAATCTTTTCTTGCCCATATTCATTGCATAATGTCAAATAACTAGTAGTACATTCTTCTTCTGAACTTGAGCCAGAATCTGGCCATTTGGGAGAGCTATCTTGGCCTTCTTCGTCTTGGTTACTATCATCTTGAGAGCTTGGAGTAAGACTAGTCTTCAAAGGCAGGACTTTAAGCATGGCTCCACCATCACTTCCTCTGGATTCAAAGCTGCCGCTGTCCTGAGAACTAGAAGTTGGCTGTTGCAGGTGAACTTTAGTAAGTGTGGATTTTTTCACTTCCCCGATGTCAAAGCTTTCTTCAGGGCTTCTGTTTAGAAACTTACTGATATATGACCAGAGTTTGCCACCTGTGAACAAGTATAACCAAAAAAATTTTTAAGATCCCCAAAATAATGGTTACTTATTGAAGCCCTTAGAAAAACAAAGAGTATTCTAATAATCAACCAAAAGCAAGTCAATGATACCCATTAATATCAAGTATGCTATAAAACAAGCATTTTAATTAAATGTTTTGTTATTGCTGACTGCTGAGTATAGTTCTAAACATATCTCCTGATACCAATTATCTTTTAAATGACAACCTATTTCTCCCTTTGAAATTAGTTTAACAAATACTAATATGAAATCCCACAGCTGGAACACTGCTTTAAACATGATTTAGCTGTTGAAACATCTGATTATGTTCTGAGCTGTTTATGTAATAATTTTTTGAAGCATGGTCCCTTGGCCAAGTGGAAATACATAAATAAGTGTTGCTTAAAATTGTATATACTATAGGGGGCAAAAATCAACAATATTATTCCATTTTGGAAATGCCCAATCCAGGGCACCTGGGTGGCTCAGTCGTTAAGCGTCTGCCTTCAGCTCAGGTCATGATCCCAGGGTCCTGGGATCGAGCCCTGCATCAGGCTCCCTGCTCAGCAGGAAGCCTGCTTCTCCCTCTCCCACTCCCCCTGCTTGTGTTCCTCTCTCACTGTGTCTCTCTCTGTCAAATAAATAAATAAAATCTTTAAAAGAAAGAAAGAAAGAAAGAAAGAGAAAGAAAGAAAGAAAGAAAATGCCCAGTCCAAGACTAGAGGGGAGATATGGCATCTGGTATATAATTATGCCACTATAAATTACATATTAATAACATTTTTCCCATTCCCCCCCATATACATCAGATATGGTATAATAAGACCTAGTAAAGCAACTGAGGAAAATCAGTTGGGCAGCCGTTAATGAGGCTGGCTATTTTAATTCCAGTTTTGTATTCTGATATATACCAGAAACCTATAGAAAAGTAAAATCATAAAAATCAATTTCAAAGAAATCAAAGGAATCTGATATTTTACCAGCAATACTTGTTAGTTATTTCACTTTGTTTTTCTTTTGTGTTATTTTAACCATTAAGAATTCAACCTGTTTTGCTCACTAGAATCTTTGAATAAATAACTCTAAGTATCAAAAACCTACCAAAGCTTTACTCTATTACAAGAAGAAGTTAAATTTGATCTAAAAATCTTACAAACAATAATTACAGATGCATCCTCTGTGAAGATATAACTGTAGCTTCCAAAAATGGGAAATAATGTGTTAAAAATGAATCCCTCTATTAACATGGAGAAGGCAATTTTTTTTTTCCAGCACATTTTTAATGTCTTTATTAAGCATCCTATACCAGGGTAACAATCTTAAAAGAAATAATCTCCGACAGTCAATTATATGTATAAAAAGGTCAGTGGAAGCATCCAAAAAAATCTTTTTGTACTTGGCATTTCATTTCATTTAGAGGAACTCAGTAAATACATAAAGCCCCCCCCCAGTACTGTGTCCACTATAAAGTAAATGTATAATAAAGGGTAGCTGTCATAATATTAATCCTAAGATACTCAGACATCTCCTCTCCCTGTGACCCAGTTAACAGTTTTCTCCCATTTTGATAATAATTAGTAGTATTGGACATTATGGTGTTTAACTTTTCCCCTCTCATTTTTCTTAGCTAACTTTCTGTCCTCATTAGATTACACTTAGTGTTTCATATTCCCCCATATTCAAATAAAATTTAAGGTTCATATATAGCCTTGAAACTCACAAAAGAAGCTATGCATTGATTCCATCTTTTTTCCTCATTTGACAACAATAGCCACATTCCTTTTATCACAAATACGTCTGTTGTGGCACACTTACAATAAAGCCTGAACCTGGAGCTGGGGTTCTCGTATGCAATCCAACTGAAACAACGTATGTTGTTTTCTATTCTCCTAGATGGGGACTACTGTGAAGACAGGACCGTCATTTCCATCTTTCTATCTACTGTCTAAACAGTGTGCAGGACACAACAGGCACTCAGTCAGTGCTGCTTTAAACTCAGATGATAACTCATGAGAATGAGATGTGCCAACACAAAGTAGACAGTCTTTGCAGTTGCAAAGTTCTAATAATAGCAAGAAACGGTACCCAGTAAAGTTCTAAGAAAAGTTTCATTCATTCTTAGACCAATTTCACCTGGATGAACTGCTGAAATCGAAAGTTTAATGTGCTTCAATTCTTTCTCCCCCCACCCCCACCCCCACCCCCAGATCACTTCCTCTTTCTTACCTCCAAGCCACTCTGGCAAAAAAGCTTTGGACCAAGCTTAGATTATTTTTTCTCCCTTGTTCTTTTGGGCAAGTTTCCAAGTCCTGTAGGATATGTCTATAATGTTTCATGGAGTCTTCCTCTTCTACTGATTCCTTTGGCCAGTCTGCTTCTTGGAATAACTTTATAGCTACAACTAGATCCCTGCTTTAACTAACTGCTTTCTGTATCAATCTGTAATACTAATTGCTACCCAATTAATCTTCCCTCTCTCTCAAATAAATGGATAAATCTTTTTTAAAAAGCACTATTAACTATTTGTACATTTTTTTCAGACTATTTTTTTTATTTGTGACTAACATCACATCATAAACATTTTCTAATTTTCAAGAGACTATGAACTTTGATGGCTACATAGCATATCCATGTGATAGATATTATGAGGTATTTAAATGTTCATCTATTGTTGGACATTTACATTGTTTCCAATCTTTTACTATTAAAATAATATGTACTTTTTACATGGAAGTACTTGACATCCCTGATAATTTCGTCAGGACAGAATCCCAGAAATGAAAAGACTAGATCAAAAAGCATGAATATGTTTAATGCTTCTGATACATGTTGTGAAACTGCTTTACAGAAAGGCTGTACCAGAATCCACTCCTATAAGCAATGTGTATTAATGCCACCTTCATAGCAACTTGCCTTTACTGGATGTTAGCAAGCTGACCAATTTGATTAGTCAAATATGGCATCTCCCTTAATTTCCATTCTTCTCATTATTACATAGAATTTTTAAATGTGATGATTGGCACTTTCTTTATGACATTTGTTCCTAACCTAAACAAATACCCTAAAGTGAGTTGTAAAAAAACTGCATTTTTCTGGGCGCCTGGGTGGCTCAGTCGTTAAGCGTCTGCCTTCAGTTCAGGTCGTGATCCCGGGGTCCTGGGATTGAGCCCCACATCAGGCTCCCGGCTCAGCGGAAAGCCTGCTTCTCCCTCTCCCACACCCCCTGCTAGTGTTCCCTCTCTCGCTGTGTCTCTCTCTGTCAAATAAATAAATAAAATCTTAAAAAAAAAAAACAAAAACTGCATTTTTCAAGAGAGAATGAAACCATTTTAGCCCTTTTCCATTCTTTGCTGGGTGCCCAGTTAAATTTACTGTTTGATATGGAACTATGGAAACAAAATTTTGGTCCTATCCCATACTTTCTTCCAATTACAAAATCATGAAAATCACAAAATTTACAAGAACACATTATTTCCTTTGAAATTTCTCACCCACAAAAGCTGAGCGTGTTTTACTTTCTACTAAATTAAGATCAGGCCTAACAGATAAATTTACACAAATATCAACATTATTATTGTAACATTAAAAATATTATCCTTGGGGCGCCTGGGTGGCTCAGTCAGTTAAAGCGGCTGCCTTCGGCTCAGGTCATGATCTTGGGGTCCTGGGATCGAGCCCCACGTCCGGCTCCCTGCTCAGCAGAAAGCCTGCTTCTCCCTCTCCCTCTGCCTGCCACTCTGCCTACTTGTGCTATCTGTCAAATAAATAAATAAAATCTTTAAAAAAAATGTTATCCTTTAAAAAACCCTGTTATTGCTAACTCTCAAAATATAAGTAGAAAATACATAACATAAAAAAAAGAAAATACCTAACATATTTACAATTTTTAACACTTTAGAAATATAAATGACACCTTTGTAAGCCTCACTGAAGCATATAAAACTTGGAGATATTAGCCATTTTAAGCTATGAAATTAGCAATTAATAAAGTTTAGTAAAAACTCTGTCTCTCATTAAATTTTAATTTATTGGTTTTCTGAAAGATTGCAAAGAATATTTGTTAAATTTGCTTGACCAGAATTAGGACTTGACTTTAATATGTACGATAAAATACTCTCAGAACAATGATAAAAATCATTTTTTGAACCACCAATTCTATGTCAAGAAATTCATGCTATAGGGGTGGCTCAGTCGTTAGGCGTCTGCCTTCGGCTCGGGTCATGATCCCAGGGTCCTGGGATCGAGCCCCACATCGGGCTCCCCACTTGGCCGGGAAGCCTGCTTCTCCCTCTCCCACTCCCCCTGCTTGTGTTCACTCTCTCACTGTGTCTCTCTCTGTCAAATGAATAAATAAAAACTTAAAAAAAAAAAAAAGAAAGAAATTCATGCTATAAATAGTTCTCAAAAAAGAAAACAAAAATACACAAAGATATATAGGAAAAAGTACTAGAAACAATTTAAATACCAATTAATCAGGGAGTAGTTAAATAAATTATAATATCGGTACAACCAAATATTCTTTATTCAAAACCACAACAGCAACATTTGCAAATACTTACACAGTGTTTACCAGGCACCAGGCACCAAGTGCTTTACATATATCAACTACTTAATCCTCACGTCAACTGTATGAGGCAGGTAATTATCATCCCTATTTTATAGATAAGGAAATGGAGGCACAAAAACACGAAATACCTTGCCCCACATCACACAAACTAACGTAGTCTGGCTCTAGAATCCTTGTTTTTAATCACTGCACTGGTCTCTCTTAATGCAGACCTGTATGTACTGACAAGGAAAGTTGTTCAAGGTATACTGTTAAGATGGGGGAAGAAAACAAGCCATAGAACAATATGTAAGATCCATTTTATTTAACCTGACAGGTAGGGAGTATATGTTTATATACACTGGAAAATTTCCCCTATTTCTGGAGAGCTGAACTGGGTATTAAAGTGACTAGGAAGGGAGAATTTTTATTTTTACTTTATATACTTCTATATATAGCTCAAATGTATTGCCTTATATATTAGTTTCATAATTTAAAAAAAAATAGTTAATAAAAAGAGAATCATTTCACCCCTTGGGTCCCCAAGTAACTTGGGACAAAACTCTTTCCCATCCCCCACCTATCCGGTGTATGCACACTCGCAGGCATTCCTTCTAACCCAGGCATTTCACCTTCTCTCTGACCTACTCAGTACTCAGCAATTATACACTGAACATCTTCTATGTACCAAGTATTCTGCTAAATGTTGGGATATAGATGATGAAAATGACATAATCCCTAATCTTAGGAACTTAAAGTTTTAATAATACAAGTGGCCTGGACTGAATACAATTATTTTCTCACCTTTTCTTCTCCAGAGTTAAAATAAGGGATTCATTTATAGGAACAATAAACATTTTCAATCTCTCTCCTAAAATCCTGTCTGGTATATCCAACTGCCTACTCAACACCACCTGGACATTTCAGAAGCATCTCAAACTCACAAGTCCAAAACTGAATCCCTGATTTTCTTCCTCTAAATCCACCCCTCCCACAGCTTTCCCCATCTTAGTAAATGAGAACTCCATTTTTTCAGTTCTGTGAGCCAAAAACCTCGCAGGCATGTAAAGCAGAATTATGTCAGTTCTATCTTCAAAATAGATTCAGAATCAAATGACCATTTCTCACCACCTCTACCACTAACGCTTTGTGCAACCCACAATTATTTTCACCTGGATTGCTGCAAAAACTTCCAAACTGGTCTCCTGCTTTTGCCTTTGCCCTCCTAGACTACATTTTCCACAAAGCAGCCAGAGTGATCCCTATCTTGTCACTCCTTTGCTCAATATCCCTCAATCACTTCCTATCTACTCAGAGTACAAATCAAGTTCTTGGGGCACCTGAATGGCTCAGTCGGTTAAGGGTCTGACTCTTGATTTCGGCTGAGGTCACGATCTCAGGGTTGTGAGATCGAGCCCCTCACTGAGCTCCACACTGGGCATGGAGCCCACTTGAGCTTCTCTCTCTCTCCCTCTGCCCCCTAACCCTGCATGTGCTCTCAAAAGAAATAATAGTAAAATAAAATCAAGTTCCTAAAGTGGCCTATTAAGACCACAGAGGATCTTCCCACCTGCCTCCCCACCTCCAAGTTCTTCCCATTCTGCTCCAGCCACATTACCCTTGCTATTTCTTATACCCCAAGTACACTCTTGGCTTCAAGCCTATTTGTTCTCTCTTAATGAGATACTCTTTCCTCACATATCCACAATGCTCCCCCTCTCACTGCCTTCAGGTCACTGGCCAAACGCCCCTTTCTTAATGAGGTGACCACTCTAGTTTAAATAGTAAGCCCCACCTCACCCTTCTGGCATCCCCTTTTCCCATCTTTTATTTAACTTTTCGCCATAAAATTTATCTCCATCCAACATATATTTACTCATGTATTTGCTTATTGTCTGTTCTGCCTCTCAGTGTAAGCTCCATGTGGACAAAGTCTTCATCAGTTTTGTTCACTGCCATGTTAGAACTAAGCCTGTATCCCAGTAAGCACCAATATATTTCTGACTAAATGAATTAAAAATGGAAAGAAAATGAGTCCAAGAGACTTACGTGAATCTTGAATAGTCCTATAAGCAGAAGGAAGCTAAAGCCACAGATCATAAGTATTCAAGCATTCATGTTAGAGAAAACAATTGTTCAACACTTATTTTTCAGGAATAGCTATTTACACATATAAAAGTAACGTGTGTATGATATATGCACAATTTCTAATTCACAGAGGTAACAAATACCACTAATATGTAAAAGATAGCATACTGCCCATCATACAGTTCACCTGATTGCTCAAGCTAAAGACAAAAAATTCGCCTAGATTCTTCTCTCCCTAACCCAGAATCTATCACAAGTCCCACTGAGTCTACCCTCAAAGCATAGCGGCTAGAACACCAGAAAGCCATGCCATCATCACCTCTTGTCGAGACTATTCACTGCTTGTTTACTCTTCCTTGCCTGTTTATAATCCATTCCCTATACAACAGCCAGAGTGATCTTTTTAAAACGTAAATCAGATCTTGCCACTGCTTTAGCTATCCAATGGTTTCCCAGTGCACTTGAATAAAAGCCAAAGTCCTTTCCCTGCAGTACAAGACTCCTGCCTATTTCCCCAAGAGCCTCATATACCACAACTGCCCTCACCTACTACACTCCAACCAAACGGTCTCCTTTCTTGTTCATCAGATACTGTTTTTGTCTTTGATTTCTTACACTGATCCCCGTACCTAGAATGCGCTTCCCAATTACATCCAAATGGTTATTTCTTTTGTCATTCAAAACTTCTCTTAAATGTTGCCTTTTTGGAGCAGGCTCCCTTGACTACCTCATCTAAAGTAGTCCCCCAGTCGTTCTTTTTTAAAGATTGCTGTGTTAGAAACCAGTGCAGTCCCTATTATTAGTCCATATTATCGTGCTTTTTGGTTTTGTTTGACTCGTCACAGAAAGCTCTCTGCCTGGCTTGTTCACCAAAGAGAGAGTCTAGTACACAATACATGCTCAATAAATTTGCAGAACATTAAATGAACCTAGAGTCCCTATTTGCACTATAATTTAATATCTTTGTGTTATAAAAATCTTCTTATAATCAAACAGTAGGCACCTGAAATCAACAGTCAAAAAGAGATCCTCCCCCACCAAGTTTAAATCATTCAGGACAAATTCAATATGATGTAGCCATTCAAAGTCAGCTATGGCCAACAATAAAGGAAAAAAGAGCTTGGTAAAGATAATCTAAATCTAGACATATGGCTTTCAAATAGATGATAAAAATTTTCTCAGTATTAAAGTAAAATTAGTTGAAATATCAGCTTTAAGGAGTATAAGAGAAAGTGAGCAGATGGCAGAAGAAAAACTGAAGTGTGTTCTGGAGAAGGAAGAGAAAGAGCAGGAAGAAGCTGCAAATAGCAGAGGCAAACTAGAATCGAAAATTTGCCACAGATAATCTCCAACATGAATAATCCACACTGGGTAATAGAATATTGACTATAATTACATTCATCCTACTGACCTTGTTCTAAATTATTATGGATTATTACTACGCAAGTTATTTTGTTCCACACCAGAGGTGGCTGTATTTCGCTATCAGATGACATGACCTCTAATTCAATAATGTCTGTAATGCACTGGTATCCTCAGATAAAAGCTGTCTATAATGTCTGAACAAAGGTGAATTAGTTATCCAATTCACACACGCAATTAACTCTCTTAATACCTGAGAGACCATGGAGCCCCTTCTGAATTTCCTATTAAATACTACATATGGAGGTCTTCCCCCATCTGTAGTTATCTTGTGCTGTACTTCATAATAAACAATATTAATAGTTTATTGCCCCCGTCAAAAATCTTGCATTAGTTATCATAAAAGACCTCATTCCACAAAGCAGTGACTCATTTTCCTGGGAAAATGCATTAAATTCAAATGTCATACCTATTAGTAAAACACAACAGTTCTTTATTCTCAGTAATGTGAAAATAAAAATAACACCTTCGTGAAACATAGAAAATAATTTAAATTTTTTTTACTATTTTAAAAACACCTCTTAAGGCCAAAAGGCAGTATTTACTATGTGGATTTATATTTATATGCTGTATTCAGTCATTCTAAATAAAAGACTATTTATTTAAATTCAGGTGTTAAAGGGCAAAAACAAATCAAAACATAGTATTTTTTTGCCACCTGTTCCCTCTACCATGAGCTAAAATTTCATAAATAGTTTGAAGGCAGAGCACCATGCCTCTGCTTTGTACCCATATGTGATGCCAATGGCTGTATTCGTAAAAACCCAGATCAGAATAACTAGGTAATGTCAAATGTTAAGCAAATACCCATGCATTCTAAAAAAGGAGGTAATTAATTAATTCTTCAGGGGACGCTTTTTACTTTCATCATCTAACACTAATGTATCCTTTTAGCAAAGAACAAGAGAACAAAATAAAATGCCTAAAATAAAACCTAGCTCTTTTAGCACACATTCACCTTAACGTGCTCATCACAGTAGCTCAATTCTAGGGGAAAGTAAGTAGTTATGTATATCTAAGAATGTTACTGTAGTTCAAATGAAATCTGCTGTTCACCTGGGTTTTCATTTTCCCTCACAACTCAAAGAGAGTGGAGGAATGAGGAAAACAGTTTCTTACATGTGTTTCATATGTTTTATCTGCCCATGCAATGCCAGAAGTAAAAAGGGCATTATAGACACTGAAAAGCTAAGTAGATGACATTCTTTCCTCTGTAAACAATTTAAACCACAAACTAACCTTCTGCGTGCTGCAGCACAAGAAATACGGACTCCTCAGAAATGATGTACTTGTGCAGACACACCATGTTGGGCACACAGCGGGGGATGATGGTCTTTCTGTTCCTGCTGTATTCACTGCTTTTCCTTAGACCCTGACAGAGAACAAAAAGGTCAGTTGTACCCTCAGTTGCCTTTGGAGCCTGCTGTGCTCTGTGTTTATCAACCAAACTAATCTATCCGAGTTACTCTGGGCTTCAGAGAAACCACTCATCTGCTGCTCTATGCCCCTCAGTCCCTGGAGGCTCTGCTGATGGCATCTGGCGTGAATCCAGAGAACGGAAGATGCCACAAAGCTGCCATTAAAATCAATTACGTGGGTCAGTGTTTTTATTAGAGATGCTCTCAAACTAAGTCATCAGGATGACACACAGTTATTTCTCTGTGACCTTTTCTTAAGTTTTATTTTACATATATATATGTATCTTTAAAGCAGTAGACACTGTGAGATCATTCAGATTTCTGAGACACAAAAGGTATTCCTAGATTAAACAGAAGATTTGAAAATTTTATGCCAAAAAAGTACAAAGACTACTTTAAGTCTTCTCCAAAGAAACAAGGTATCTGTAGTGTCTGGTGTCAAAGCCTGGTTTAAAAAATCTGGGGAAATGTCAGTGATAAAGTATATGCAGAAAGAAATTCGTTTCAGTTATATGTCAATGTGACCTATTGCCATGCTGTAAATAAAAGAAAAAATATCTGAAAAAGAAATATAAAATTAATCTGAAATTGATTATTTCTAGATGCTATGGAAATTATTAAATTAGGATATTTTAGAATATGTACTGTCACAATCCATTTCAATTTTGAAATTACAAAATCGAGGGGTTTTTCTTTCCTTGTTCATTTAGTTAGAAATTGAGTTATATAAAGAAACAGAATTGAATTTAGATTAAAAAAAAGAAGAAAGAAAGAAAAAAAAAAGGACCAGGGATGTAGATAACACTTTCCCAAATACCTGAAACAGAGACTTAAAGGCAAAATTTCAGCTCTTTAGGGCTATAATCATAATCAAAGGTACAATTGTGTGCAATCTTCACAAATTATACAAAATGTATTAAAGATGTGTTTAAGGTACACACTATATATTTAAATATCAGGGAATGAGTCTTCAACTTATCCAAACTATCACCTCCATACTCTATAACCTAAAACTCTTTTTAAATGTATGCTATAACTGTGATAAAGAACAGAAAGTAAAATAAATATAGATCACCATAAACATAAGAGAACATCCAAACATCCAGAAAAAATACTAAATATTTTTTTCTTTCATAAACATAATTTGAAAATAAATGCCTAAATTCATTAAACATACAAATTCTACTTACTTTTAAAATGAATGTCTGTTCTGTCCTTGTGTCCATTACAAGTAAAACCTACATAAAAGACATGAGTAATAATTTATTCACAGTACAATGAAACACTGACTTGTACGTTTTTGAAATTATACCTTAATGGTTTGTGGGTAAATGCTGAAACTCACTCCACCAAAACTGTTAATTTCTGAATAGGTTTTTTTTTTTTTTAAGCCACCAAATCACAGGATTAAAACAGTCTTACCTAAAGTAGGTTTTATTAGTTTCCTTTTCTAAAAATTCCATATTTTAGAAACATTTCTATGTTTTCCTACATTTGTTTTAAAATATATTGCTTAGGGGGCACCTGGCTGGCTCAGTAGGTTAAGTATCTGCCTTCGGCTCAGGTCATGATCTCAAGATCCTGGGATCGAGCCTCACGTCAGCTCCCTGCCCAGTAGGGAGTCTGCTTCTCCCTCTCCCTCTGTCTCTCCCCACACCCCCACGCCTGTGCTCTCTCTCTCTCTAATAAATAAATAAAATAAAATATATTGCTTAAAAGGAAAAATTACTTTACACAAAGAATTTTTCCTCATGGAACATATATGGTTTAGAAGAAGTAAAAAAAAAAATTTACAGGCATTGCTAAAGTCTCAATTTTCTTCTTAAAATCCCTTATGTAGCAACGTGGTATAATGTGATCTCAATAACTCAGGCTCCAACTTAAGACCCCCTTTTTGTACTCCTTCTCCATCCAAGACTCATCCTAGCTCCTCTTTTTCCATCAGCAAATCCTGTCAGCTCTAAGTTCAAAATGTATCCAAAGTGTAAACTCACTTGGCACAGCTATTACCCTGATCCAAAGATTTACCTGGATTATAACAATGGCCTCCCAACAGATTTCTCTGCTTCCTTATTTGCTGCCCTATGGTCTATTCTCTAAATACCAGCCAGTGTTTTCTTTTAAGAACATAAGTTACATCATATCACTCCTCTCATTTAGAAAAACAGCCTAAGTCCAAAAAACTACGTCAAGCCCATGCATGATCTCACACATCGCCCCCTCAGACTACCTCCTCCCCCAACCCATCTTGATGGATAGAAGGAATGACTAGAGATAGAGAATTATTCTACCATGTTACTATTTTATTATTTTGGAGACACTACAGCAGAAGTTGGCAAACTTCTTCTATAAAGATCCAGACAGGAAAGATTTTAGGCTTTGCCAGCCCACGCGGTCTCTGCTGGAGCTCTTCATCTCTGCCATGGCAGCACAAAAGCAGCCACTGTCTGAAATGGGCCCTGTCTGGAGTATTTATATCACAGACACCTGCAAACACTGTAAACAGGATTTTGGGTTCCCCTTCCAGAGAGCTGAGAGTCAGGAATGAAAAAAAGATGTCAAGCTTGGGAAAAGGAAAGAATGGTGAGAAGATGGGGGACCAGCCTGAGGAGAAGACAGTAAATTCCACGTTAGACATGATGAATTTGAAGTGACGGTGACCACTTCATCTCTGAACTCTCTTACAAGTGTTTGACCTACAAAATATAAGTCTCCATTTAAATTCCATTGAATATTCCCACAGATACCTTCTGAACTCACCCCTTCCTCTTCTCAAAGCCCTTTCCCCACTAGACATAAAACCAAACCCTGTTTCTCCTCCTACAGTACTGAATAACACCACCATCCTTGTAAGACGCCCACCACCAAAAAGTTCCCTCAGTCACTATGAATTCTCCCGTCCCCTACGCTCATAACCAGCGACCAAATCCACTCCCTAAGTATTTCTCCTATCCACCCTCTACTCTGTTTACCTACCATGTACTAAGTGTTTACTACGTGCTATGCTTTAGCCATAGATGTTAATTCTCTCAACTACACGATAAGGTCATTTTAGCCTTTCTACTCTGAAAGTGAAGACATTAAAACTTCATCTGCAGAAGCTATAATGGCAGATAATAACAGATCTACCATTTGGAGAATTTCAGTGAAGTCATCTTAGATAAGTGCTTGGGGATAGCCACTTGTTACTATTATTGCTATGGCTGTTATTGCTGCTTCTCCTGACATGTCCCCCCCAAGCCCCTTATCAAACAAGTACTCATCCTTCCATATTCAGCTCAAGTAACACTGATTCTCCCCATTCTTTGTTCTCCCACTGTATACAATACCAACCCCTTCGATTTGATTTTTTTATTCACGTGTCTATTTCCCAACCAGATTTCAAGTTTTTTATGGGCATATTGTAGGCAGAATAATGGACGCCAAGGATATTCATACCTTAATCTCCAGAACCTATGAATATGTTATGTTCCTGGCAAAAAAGGACTTTGCAGATGTAATTAAGGTACAGACCTTAAAACAGATTATCTTGGATTATCTGAGTGGGCTCAATCAAATCCCATGAACCCTGAAAAGCAGAGAACTGTCTCTGGCCAGAAGTGGAAACACAGAAATGATATGGCAGAAGGGGAAACCAGAGAGATCTTAAGTATGAGAGGGATACACGGTTGCTGGTGCTAAGATACAGACGCCTACATGTCAGCATTGGGGATGGGCCTCTGGGAGCTCACAGGAAGCCTGAGAAGGAGCAGACAGCTTCTAGAAGCAAAGACCAGTCTTTGGCTGATAGCCAGCAAGGAAGAGTTCAGTCCTACAACTGCAAAGAAAAGAATTCAACCTACAACCTAAATGAACTTGGAAGTGTATTCTTCCCCAGAGCCTCCAGTAGGAACACAGCCCTGCCAGCACCTTGATTATAGCCCAATGTGACCCATGTCAGACCTCTGGTCCAAAGAACTTTGACATAGTCAGAGAAAGACAAATACCATATGATTTCACTCAGATGTGGAATTTAAGAAACTGATGAACATGGGGAAGGGAAGAAAAAATAAAATAACACAAAAACAGAGAGGGAGGCAAACCGTAAGAGACTCTTAAGTATACAGAACAAACTGAAGGTTGCTGGAGGGGAAGGGGGTGAGGGAATGGGGTTACTGGGGGATGAGCATTAATGAGGGCACTTGATATAATGCAACTGATCAATCACTAAATTCTACCCCTGAAACTAATAATACACTATATGTTATCTAACTTGAATTTAAATAAAATCTAAAAAAACAAATCAAAACAAAACAAAAACCAAAGAACTCTGACACAATAAATTTGGTTGTTTTAAGATGCTAAGTTCGTGGTAATTTGTTATGACAGCAATAGAAAACTAATATAGGGCACAAACTATATTTCTTCCAACATATAAGCACATCCCTCTCCCATGGTAAATGTTCAATAAACACATGTGAACAAATTTAGGTGTAAATGTTTAGAAGAAAGATGTCAATATGTGAATAGAGCTTAGGAATAAGTTGGGACTAAAGATTTATATTTGAGCATTCTCCGTCAAGATAACAGCTAAAAACATGAGACCGTACCTCCAATGAAGTGCTTACTTTATACCTGGCACTATGCTGGGTTTCAAAGAATTAAATCATATAATGCATTCAACAATCCAATGAGATAGGTATTTATGTTTTTTTCCTTTGTGACCAGATTTTTTTTTTAATTAAAATACAGTTGATACATTATATTGGTTTCAGGTACACAACATAGTGATTCAATAATCATATACACTATGAAATGCTTACCACAATAAGTATAGTTGCCATCTGTCACCATACAAAGTTATTACAATATTACTGACTATATTCCCTATGCTGTCCTTTTTATTCCTATAATATAACTGGAAGTCTGTATGTCTTAATTCCCTTCACCTATTCCGCCTATATCCCCCCTCCCCATCACACCTCCTCTCTGGCAACCACAAGTTTGTATCTCTATATTTAAGAGTCTGTTATTATTTTTTTGTTTGTTCATTTGTTTTGCTTTTTAGATTCCACATACAAGTGAAATCAAATGATATTTGTCTTTCTCTGTCTGATTTATTTCAATTAGCATAATACCCTCTAGATCCATCCATGTTGTCATGAATGGCTAGATTTCACCCTTTTGTGGCTGAGTAATATTCCCTTGTGTACACACACCATATCTTCTTTATCCATTCATCTAAAGACAGACATGTAGGTTGCCTCCATATCTTGGTTATCACAAACAATGTTGCAATAAATATGCAGGGTGCAAGTAATCTCCTCGAATTAGTGTTTCGATTTTCTTCAGGTAAATGCCCAGCAATGGAATTACTGGATTGTATAGTAGTTCTATTTTTAATTTTTTGAGGAACCTCCACACTGTTTTCCACAGTAGATGTACCAATTTACATTCCCCCAACAGCACATGAGTGTTCCCTTTTCTCCACATCCTCACCAACACTTCTTATTCTTATCTTTTGGATATTAGCCATTCTAACTGATATGAGGTAATACTTCCTTGTGGTTTTGATTTGCATTTTCATGATGATAAATGTCGTTGAGCATGTTTTCTTATGTCTGCTGGCCACCTGTATGTCTTGGGAAAATTGTCTACTCAGGTTCTCTACAATTCCTTAATCAGAATTTTGTGTGTGTGTGGGTGTGTGTGTGTGTGTTGAGTTGTATCAGTTCCTTATATATTTTGGATATTAACCCCTTATCAGATATATCATTTGCAAATATCTTCTTCCATTCAGTAGGCTGTCTTATAATTTTATTCATGGTCTCCTTCTCTATGCATAAGCTTTTTAGTTTTATGTTGTCCCATTTGTTTATTTTTATTTTTGTTTCCCTTGCCTGAGGAGACAGATCCAAAAAAATATTGCTAAGGCTGATGTCCAAGAATTTACTACCTGTGTTTTCTTTTATGAGTTTTATGGTTTCAGGTCTTACATTTAGGTCTTTAATCCATTTTGAGTTTATTTTCATGTATGGTGTAAGAAAGTGGTTCAGTTTCATTCTTTTGCATGTAGCTGTCCACTTTTCCCAACACCGTTTATTGAAGAGACTTTCTTTTCCCCATTGCATATTCTTGCCTCCTTTGTCATAGATTTAGGGACCATATAAGCACAGGTTTATTTCTGGGCTCTCTATTGTGTTCTATTGATCTATTGCTCTAGTGATTGTCTATTTTGTGCCAGTACTGTACCATTTTG